CCCACATCAGGCCACTGGGGCTCTGTGGCCAGGTGTGTTCACCATATCCTGGCGAGCGTCCCCATGGACTGGAAGGTGACTGTGAGCATGTTCCATCATGAGCAAGGGGCTTGATGCAGGCTGAGGAACACTATGCTCTACAGAGGGCACAGGACTATGTGTGAATATCATGTAGGTATGTCGTGCGTGTGTGTGTGTGTGTGTGTTTGTGTGTACAAGCAAGAAAGGGAGGTTCGGAGGCATGCTGCCAGGCCCCAACCACCAACCCCCCAGTGTGGAAAGCCCTAAGTTTGAATCTCCCCACACACCAGTGATCTACTTTCAGGAACAAGTCCAGCCTGGCCAGCAGACAGGACCCACAGGGAGGGCCACACTCCATTCCCCCTCACTTCCAGAAGAAGCATCCCATTCCCACAGTTTGCCAGACAGACATACAGACAAGCATGAAGTCAATCTTGTTTGGCTCAGCGCTCAGAAAGACCCAGAAGCCAGAATCCTGGGGCACAGAGCACCTTGGGGCAAGTGCCTCCTGAGAAGACCGCCCCCTTAAGCTGCTACTCTGACAACAGGACTTTCAAAATTGACCCCCACTCCCTCCTCAGAGAACAATGACTCCATCCATGTCCCCTGTACAGGTCATTGCTGTCTTCCCTCCGACTCTAGCTTCCCTGTCCTCCCTCCACATCCAGACACACACCACGGGCTCCCGGTCTCGGGGATGGAAGCCCAGGAAAGAACCACACTCTCAAAACTAAAAGAGCAAAAAGTCACTGGAGTCGGAGGTGGAAGAGAGCCCAGGGCAACAGGCAGCCTGCATCGCGAGGGACAGACCCTCCAGGACCCTGTCTCCTTTCTTCTCTGTTTCTCTTCTCTCTGGAAATGCTGCTGCCAAGCCCTTTGAAACCAAGGATAGCTTGTAAATGTCCTGGTTGGAGATGAAACATAAGACATGAAGCCAGGGACTGAACCATGGATAATCTCCAGAGTTTTACAAGGAACAAATCATTCCTGGAGACAGGCGCTGGGGCGGGGGGGGGTGGTGGTGGTGAGGGACTGGGGTGAAAGGAGCTTTTCTGCAGATAACCCTGAGCTCTCTCCCCGGCAGCTTCCTTCTTGCCTGCCACAGGGGACCCACCAACTGTCTTCCCTGTGCTTCTTGCCCCTAAGCTCCTTCAAGCAGATGCCTAGTGCCCAGAGCCAGGGTAGGACGATTAGGTGGTCCCGGGGTCCCTGCATCCCCCAGACCATGGACACATTCATGCACATGGGATACAGAGGAAGTGAGAAGAAGGCAGTGCAATCTGACACACCTACATCCATCTGATGCTACTACGTGCCGCCTCCGCAGGCTCGGGCGTTTGGGGAAAGAAATGAATAAGATGAATGCACTGTGGTCACTGGCATTGAGGAGCTGTTGACTTGGGGTAGGGGAGGTGAAACTTACAAGGGGATAGCAGGAACCCAATCTATGCACACATATGGGAGACTCACCCAGGGCCTCTGCAGTGTGGGGTAAGGAGAGAGACACTAATTGGAGTAGAGCGACTAGGAAAGGCTTCTAGGATTCTGGCACATGGAGCAGGGATGAGAAAGAAGGAACAGCAACTCTAGGAGGCAGGACCTCAGGGGCATGTTTCTAGAATAGAGCCTGGCTAGTCTAGACTAGGCCCAGCTACAGAGATTTAGGTAAAGGGGGCATGGATAATAAAAGCAACATAATTATGATAAATAATACTGCTATCATTTATAGAGTGGGAAATCAAGCTGAAGAGGTGGGGTGTGCAGGACCAGAGCAAGCAGAGCCTATGGGAACCACTGAAGAAAATTACCCAGTCTGATGACTATTTTGCTAAGATCACACTGGTTGGGGGAGGCTAGCTAGGAACTGTCACTGTTGTGGGGGAGACCTACTGGCAAAGATGCGTGGGAGGTGGGACCCCAGGAACTGGTGCACCCAGGGGGGCCACGATGGAAGCAGGTGCAACTTGAAGGCATAGAAGGGCCACAGGAAGTGGAGGCCCGGGCATCAGTGCAGGTGAGTGCTACGCAGCTGCCCTGGAGAAGGGGCTGGGGCTGGGGCTGGGCTGGGGCCAGGAGCGTCCTGCTTCCACCTGCGTCCGGCCAACCCCTGCACTGTTCTCACCTCCTTCCTTCTTTCTGCCCCCACCCAACTCTGTCTCACTCCAGGGGACTCAAGAAGGAGCACCCCAGCCCTCGACAGCTCTCCCTCGACCTGTCACTTTCGTGAAGCCCACCGAATGGAGCCCCGCTACCACCCGCAAAACCCTCAGATGCCAGGAGATCTAGGTCTGTGTCGCGAGAACCATCACATTGGGTGGGCGTGGCCGAGGGGCTGGAGCCCTGGCTCGAGGGGCCGGAGCCCTGGCTCGAGGGGCCTAGGGGCGGGGCGGGGCGCTGGGATCGCCCACCCCTCCGTTATCGGAGCTGTCGCTGCTGCGCCTCCGGTGGCGCCTCGGGGAACTGCAGCGGCACTTCGAGCCGCCTGAGAGCATCGGCGACGCGGAGCGAGCGCGCCCTCTGCTGGTAGATTCTAATCACAGTCCCTGCGACCACTCCCCACGCAGAGGACCTTGAAAACCGGAGAATCTGGAAGGAAGTCATTGCACTGTGCCCCAACTAGGACTTCGTATGGAGGTGGGAGCACAGTGGCTCTAGTCTGGCTTGGTGGTGACCTTCGCGGACTACCTCGGGCGCACCCTCCCACTTGCCTGCCCTGCACTAAGGCATAGTCCGGGGCTTCCCAGGACCGGGGTGCGCTGTCCTGCAGTGCCCTGGCCTGCTGCTGCTGTTGGCTAATATTGGTGGAATACCAGGATTCGTCTACTCCCTGAACGCTGCCCTTGACTGGCAAGGCTGTGCAAGGAGGGGACATTGGAGAGGAAGCGGCTGGGCTCTCAAAGTCTTTTGCTTCTCAAGGAGAAACTGAAGCTGCAGGCCAGAGGTTATGGTGTAACCCATAGGAAGAGGGATGGGGGGGGCTGGGTAATTTAAGATTCCACATGAGACACCCATCCTTCACCCGGCCCCTAGCAGACAGACCTTGCTCATAGGGTCTGATGTGAGGGGACCTCAGATTCCCTGCATCCCACTCCCCACCCAGCTCACCCCCCATGGCTCTCCTGTGCCCTCATCCAACAAGGAAGTAGGCTGAGTTCCCTGCACAGGCAGGTGACCCCACAACAGAGCAGGGGCCCTCGACCTGTGGCTGGGGATCAGGGGAAAGGCAGAGTCCCATCACTGAGATATGAGCAGGCCAAACAGGCCAACAACACTGGAGGGCTCCCTGTTCTCCTCCCTCCCCAGCCACTCCAGCCTCATCAGAACACCTTTGCCCTCACATCTGCAGGTCCCACTCCTCCCTCCTTCCCATGTGGGGGTACTCCCAGCTACTAAGTGTGCCTATTCCAATTATGCATTCAGAACTGAGGAAATAACCACAGGAAAAGTTTGGGAACCCACTGGACCCACTGTGAGATGGACCTGAGCTAAAACTCCATTGACCACCTGACCTCCACAAGCCCCTACTCTGACACAGTGACATTTGTGTCTCCTAGGTGGTATCAGTGTAGAGCCAGTGTCCAGAAGTCCCTGAAATGTTTATTTCCTTTTCCCCAATACACACACTCTGCTATAAGACTATAGGTCCCCTTAGGAAAGGCTGGAAGAAAGATGAACAGTATGCATTTTGGCAGCATACTAAGGTTCTTCTTTAAGGGGTCCCTGCCTCCCCTTCATTCAAGTAGTTCTGGGTCTGTAAACTGGTTCAAATCCGGGAATTGACTGAGGAGTCATGACTGTTTTAATGATTTAAATTAGACTTTATTTACTTCACCTAGAACTCTTCTGCTCATACAGATTAATAATTCATTAGGCTTCCCATCTATTCACTTCTAGGGACACCATAATCAACTAGCCAACACCATAAGTTAGAGAGAGTCAAACTCTTCTGATTGCTGCTTTGACTCTGCTGTCCATTAGGGTAACCATACCCACCTTGACTTTAGTGATACAATTAGCCCCGTTGCATTTAGGTTTCCCAATTCCACAGCAAGCAGTTATTCTAAGTTCTGGCTCACACAGAAGTGATCACGAGCTCCCTTAGGATGCTGGGGTTCCCCTCACAAATTTACTCCTCACAATGGTGATGAATGGCATATCCTCCGAATCCTCCCAGGGTGAGTAAGCTAATCTTAAATCACAAATCCACTCTAACATTCCAATCTCCCTAAGCCTTTGGATCCCTTTCTCTATTAAACCAAGGCAGGTCTGGCATTTCAACTCCATTTAGTGTGGGCTACCTTTTGGTCCATGTTTCAACCAACTAAACAAACTGTTAGAACCCTTTCTAACCCACTGAGCTGCAATGTAAATCCAGAATCTATTTAGTGATCCCTATCAATAAATTCAGCCTGATTCAACTTATGTTCTCCCACACCATTATCTTACCCCTTAATATCCATTCCCATACACACTCCTCAGATTTCTGTTAACATAAATTGAAAAAACCATGTAGTTCTTTTAAATATATCGTACCTCCTCATAGGTCACATTTTACAGTCTCCCTACAGGGCTTGGAGCAAGTTTGTTGCTGTCTCAGGGCCTTTGCATGTGCTGCGCCTCTCCTTGCTGCTCTCATCTGTCATTGCTGAGTTGAGATGACCCCTCCCCAGCATCCTCCTCTCTGGAAGCAAAGCACCAACCCCCAATCCCCCCTCCACACATCCTAGTATCATTATTCTGCTGTAGTTGCTCACAGCCCTTCTTACCATCTGACATGAATTTACTTTCTCTTCAACTATGCTGTAAGACCTTGAGGGCAGGCTACATCTGTCTTGCTTACAGCTGCATCCCCAGCACCAAAGCTGGAACGTGGCATAAAACAGGTGCTCAATAAATATTTGTGGAACAAATGAAACAACTGTGAAAAGCCTGGCCCTTGTATTCTGGCATCTCCAATGTTGTTAATAAACAGAGCAGGCTTAGATTTCATGTGTTTATTCATCATCTCCTGATTACTCCAGAGAGCATTCGAGATGGGAGGGAGCATCACCCACCTTCTCAGATGGTAAGAATTTCAGCATGTGTGCGGTAAGGCATCGTCATTGTGCCCTGGGAAGGTGTGAACTGTAGTAGGCTGTGAGCTCCAGAGCCCCCAGCCTTGTGCGGTCAAGGTGATGGAGCAATCACTGCTTTCCTAAGCCCGAGTGAGGTAAGCAACAGCCACACAGATGGTGAAACAGGGTTCAGGATTTCTCCTCTCATAACTGAGAGACCAGAGGTCTGTCCTCTCGGCCCGCTCTCCCCATGGGTCACGGATCATCAGCACTCTGGCTGCTTGGAAGGTTTAACCAGAGCAAATCATGTAGTGACTGGGGTTAGAGCAGTCGGCTGGGGACACCTCTGTTTGCACTCTGTCGCCTAGCACAGACTGAGGGAGATGGACACCAGCTTTGGCAACAGCCAGAGCCCATCTCAGAATTGAGCCCTGAAGGAGTGAGTCCAGACAAGCAAAGAGGGGGCAGTGGGCTGAGAAGTGAAGGTGGGGGTACACTATCATTCACAGATGAGCCAGGCCTAAACCCATGTCCCTGAGGCTCCTGTGTAAGTCAGAGGCCAAGATAAGCCAACAGCTGGGTCTGTCCTGGCAGTGGGATATAGGACACAGGTAGCAAACCAGCGCTTTTCCCAAAGAGAGCCTGTGCAGAGCCAAAGCCTTGGGAGCCTTCCTGATGTTTCAGCCACCCCGCCTTCCCCGTCTGAATGTCCGGGGCTCCAGTTCCAAGTGGGGAGAGCCAGAGTGTGGCCACCACGCAGTGCCCATCTGGGGTGGGTGAGGGCTGCTCGCCTACTTCCTCTGGGAAGCTGAAGTTTCTTTGCCTGAAAGAAAAGAAGGAGAGGAGAGAAAAACCAGTCCTGCTCAATTATGTCTCGGACACCATTCCCTGTGCTAGCCTCCTCTGCTCCAGCCTTCAGGTCAGGAAATCTAGGAGAACCCAGGCACCCAGCTTTGGGGGAGTCTGTGTACCCCATCCCAAGATCTGCAAGAGAACTCAGAGCCTCTTCTTCCCTCACACAGACAGGGGATGAATACTACAAAAGGACAAAAGCATCATTGTACTTTATCATGCACCAGCCCCTATGGACATCCTTGTTTAACTCCCACAATGATGGCAGCAAGCAGATGCCATCAGCAGCCCCATTTTACAGAGGATGAAACTAAGATTAGAGACTGGCCATAGTCTTATAGGCAGCAAGCAAGGAGCTAGGAGTTGAGCTACAAAGGTTGGGGAGGAGAACCAAGGGTGGCTAGATGTGCAAACAGATGTGCGTTGATTTGTGAGTTTTTGTGTGAGCAGGAGAGCAAGGCCACAGAGAAAGCTGAGCTCAAATAAAATGCACAAAAATGAAACACAGCTCCCCAAAACAAACTACCACTAATAAAAATACTGCCAACAGGAACGCATATTTGAGCTATTACGATGTGCCAGGCCCCAGCTGCACAGCCTCGGCCCTCAACCTCTGCCCACCTGCCTCCCACTCCAGTCAGGGCAAGAGTCAGGCCTCTGGATAAAACCCTTCAACACATTTGCCCTCAGATGTCTCCTTTCTGGGACACATGTGATCAATCAGTCACAGGAGGCAGGAAATCTGTCCTCTTGTCCCCATCCTGAAGCTATCTTTTGGGGTGACCTTGGGCGGTCCTGGGCAGCATGCTTTGGTGACCCCATGTCACTATAAGTGGATGAAAACGGTGTTGCCCCACCACCACCAAAAGCCTCTAAAATATACGACAGGCCTGTCTGTGCCATCTGCCTGATGGCAAGCTCACCTTTAGGGACAAACTTCAGCGAACTGCTGAATATTCAGAAGCGGGACTGCCCCCGCTTTGGGCCATCGTTCAGGAACTCATGGCCCAAACCATTGCCACACCTGCCGCAGGAGACCTAGGAAGACCACAAAACAGCCACGTGAATTTCTGGACACAAAACAGCCACAGCAATGGTCTCTCCTGCCACCAGCAGACAGTGTCCACCCCATGCCCATTTCCCAAGGTAACTGCTGGCAAGAGAGGGTTGATTTCCATCCTGGAGCCTGTGCAGGAAAGTCGTCCTGTTTCCCTCTTCCCACCAGGACCCCAAGCTCTCCCCATAGCTTCCCTGCCTGAGGCCAGAGAGGTCTGGGATAGACTCTAAGCCTCTAGAGCTGTGGAAGTAACAGAAGGAAGGAAGGGGTGGCCAACACCCTCCTCCCCTCCCCCTGCTGCTACCACCCACCTTAAAGGCTTCAGGCAGATTGTGATCTGGACGCTTGGCCACACTGTCAGCATGGATGGTCTCGGTGAAGGCTGGCCATGGAGACGAATGTGCATACTTTGAGCAGCTGGAAAAGAGCTCATAGCCACACTTGGCGCACACATAGACACCTGGAGGCGGAAGGAGAGGCAGAAGCAGAGACACTGCCTTTAGCCTCTCTGGGGTGAGTTCCCAAACCCTCAGACCCAGGACAATACAGCATCGTCCCCATTTGCAGAGTGACCTGCACACCTTCCCCACATCTCCATCTACCACCCCCAGGCCTGGGTATTGGTCTGTGGAGGAGACACATCACTGAGCTCACATTTAGTGGTTCTTAGCATGTGCCAGAGACCAGAGAGCCACTTTTCACACTTATCTCATTGATTCTCAAAAGTCCTGTGATGCAGACCTAACCATTGTATAGATGAGGAAGTTGAGGCTTGATGATCCAAAACATTCAGCTAGAGGGTGTGCAGCCAGGAAGGAACCCAGGGAATCTAATCAGATCACAGCACTCTCACCCCTTGCAGGCCCCACACAGTGGGGGCTCTGACATAGCCAGCACCACCACCTAGCCCTCCTCCTTTCCCAAGTGGCTTTCCTGCTGCCCAGTGAAGCCTTGAGCTGGACACCCAGCCACTGGCCTGCTCTTCATGCAGGAAGAGAATGGTATCAGCAAAAAGGCATCCAGCCCAGTCAGAGGGCCCAGGAAAACAGAGGGCCCGGAAAAATACATTTTGAACTATCCTCAAAAGGGTGGACAGGATGTTGCAAAACTGACTTGCAAAACAGGAAGCAGGTAATCCCCAGCCTGGGGACAGCCTCACCCTTTACCAGTAACTGGAGGAGGTCACGAAGAGGAACCAGGAGCTACTGTGGGAGTGGAGTTTCCAGCTTGGCAGAGCAGTCTGAGGGGCCCATAGCCAAAGGGTTTCTGGGGAGGGCTTTGCCCAGAGGGTCCTATGTCACAGCTGACATCCATAGATGCCCGATGTCAGAGCCTAGCCCCCTAGAGGGTTGACACTCAACAGATCCCATGCCAAGTAAGTTGCTGCCTTAGTATTGCCTGTAGCATGTTTTTACCAAATTAGTCCACTAGCAGGCAGCACAGCCCAGAAGGGGACTCACCACGGCTTCTCAAAGCCCGGGGCCAGGGCTGAGGGCTGGCCATGCCCCAGGCCCCAAGCCCCCCACCCCCACCCCGACTCTCCCCTTCCAGTCCTATTCTGTTCAACTTCACTACACTGGCCACTGGTGGCCTGGCAAAATGAGTCCACTATCAGGCAGCACAGCCCAGAAGGGCACTCACCACGGCTTCTCAAAGCCCGGGGCCAGGGCTGAGGGCTGGCCATGCCCCAGGCCCCAAGCCCCCCACCCCCACCCCGACTCTCCCCTTCCAGTCCTATTCTGTTCAACTTCACTTCACTACACTGGCCACTGGTGGCCTGGCAACACTCCTGGTTACTCAACACCAGGGCCTCTGCGCAGATGAGAGAGGCATCTAAGCCGGCATATTTAGATGAGAACAGGACATTCCGTGCTTGGGGCTTACGCTGCACGTCCCAGGAACGGGGAGGGGAAGGCCAGAGGTAACATCTGGGAACGGGAGCTGCCACGAGGAGGAGCAGCCCTGTCACAGGAGCTGCCCCTGAACAAGATCTTCCACCGTGTCCCTCTGAAGTCTAGATCCTGACCCGTATCCCTGCCCCGGCGCACCACCCCCATGTGCCCTGACCCCATAGATTTCCCCCCGGAAACGGATATGGTCGCACTCAAGGCCTTTCCTCCTGGAGGACAGTATATCTCTCTCTAATGTCCCCTCCTCTCAGGCACCCCTACTCCTCCCTCCTCCATTATCCCCTTTACCCATATCCGAGCCCCCCAGACTCCTCCCTCCTCCATTATCCCCTTTACTCATATGCGCTCCTCCCCATGCGGTCACACTCGTCCCCTCCCATTCCCGGGGCTCCAGGGCTCTATTACCACCAGAGGGCAGCGACGCCCCCGCTAATGTGTGCCCTTGCCCCTCTGCCCTCCCAGAAGGTCACAGGTTGTACCCGGCTCAAAGTGGTTCTGGAAAACCTCGCCCCCGAAGAAGCTGCAGAACGACATGACGCCAACAGGACCGCTGCACGCTCACTGCCTCTGACAGATCTGAGGCCACACACACAAGATCCCTGGCATACGCCCGGCCCCGCGCCCTGAGGCTCCGCCCCCTCCTAAGAACTTGCCCTCTCCCCTTTTCCCAGCAGGCCCCGCCCATTGACTGCTCCTGAGCTGCGTCCCCGAGGCCCCGCGCCAGGGGGCGCCGCTGAGCTGCGCTGGGTGTGGAGTGGCGGCCACGCCCATCCTGAGCCGCGTGCGCTCTCCCAGCCCAAGAACTAAGCCCCGGCCACCCGCCGTCGACTGCCCTTTCCATCCCCTCAACTCAGACACCATGGGAAGAGTTGCCTCCGGCCTTTATTAGACAAGGAGGACAGGAGAGGGTCGTGCGCCCTTCTTTCAGGCTCCTTCCATCCTTAGCCGCCTACAAGTCTCCCGAGGTATCCAGCTTTTCCTTCTCAAGATGCTTCTTCTGGGGACCCTGTGTGGGTGGGGGGCAGGAGGAGCGTTAGTCACAGGGGTCTGGCTCGGAATACTGCCACTGGCCAGCTGCCTATGTCACCCAGGGCAGGCCCTGCCGCCCCCCACCACCATCGGTCCCTCCTCTACCTTTTCTAGCAAGAATCAGTGCCCAGGGCTGGACTCCTAAAATCCCTCTCCTATGGATGAGTGCAGGGAGCCTCCCGCTACCCCATCTGCTCCTGCTTCTCCATTCTCGGACAGATGGGATGTGAGGTTCGGTCCCAGAGAACAAGGGGGATTGGGCTCACCATGAAGACCCTCTTCTCTTGGGCTGTCTGGAAGCAGCCATGTCCGAACTTTGAGGTAGTGTCAATGAACTTGAGTTCAATATTCTCCAGGGCCCGGCGACTGTGGTGCACCAGGAGGGACTGGGGCCGTGGCAAAGGAGATCCTCAAGACAGAGGTCCCCACCCTCAGGCAACCCCCAGTCTACTCACCCATCTCCTGCCAGAATCCCTCCCTTTTTTGCTCTCCCCATCTCCCACCTATCTCCTGTCAGTCCCCACCCCTCCCACATTCCATGGGGCTCCTGCTTCCCAGCTTCCGAGCCCACCGCAGGTGCTGACCTTCCTTAGCGTGATGACCCGCTTCTTGGTTCCTGCGATGCAACCCTTCAGCATGACAAAGTCGTTATTGACTTCCCCATAGTGAGGGAAGCCGCCCTGCGGGGAGGCAGATAAGGGTCCAGGCCACGAAAGGAGCTGCTGAGTAGGGGGATGGCTGGGAAGCCTGGCAGAACTACTATAATCAGCTGTGATTGGAAGGAACCAGTGCTGGCCCCCTGGCAGGGGACGAAACCCTCAATCACTAATCAGAGCAGCACCTGAGCCACACCCTAAGTCCTCTCCTACACTGTCTCATTCAACAATCTACACTTTATGCAGGGGGAAATGGAGGCTCAGAGGGGTGGAGTCACCTGCTCCAACACAGGCTGGGGCTAGGGTTCAAGCCCAGGCAGCTTGACTCCAAGGACACAGTCAGAGCTGCTGCGTGCCACACCCTGTGACAGCAGCTGGAGTATGAGCTGTCTGCAGAAGAGGCTCAGAGGGTGTGGGAAGGCAGGGGTTTGTTCCACCAGGCAGCTGCTCACTGGGGCCTGAGCTCTTGGGGCATAGCAACACCCACACACCTGCCCACACATGTACACCAGGCCCCCTCAGCCAAACTGGCTTCCCACCCTTACCAGTGGTGTGATAGACTTGTCAGTCATGTCATAGCTGGTAGACGCGTTATTCTTAACCACCTTCCCGTCCTCCATATGCGGCCCTTGGCCAATGCGGTAGATCTGCCAGGAGAATAGGGCACATTGGGAGCAGCAGGTGGCCTCTAGGGCCAGAAGTGTGTCCACACCCATCAGCATGTGGGCTTAGACCCAGGCACCAATGGGGACATTTCAGAGCCTTCGGGGAACCAGGTCATATACCCCACCGACAGGTCTGGTCACAGCACGTCCCCCTCACCAGCACTGTGGACACACCTTCTTGTTGAGCTCTGTGCGGTGGTGGTAGCCCTTTTGCCCAGCACGGGCAATGGAGCAGCCCACACGGGCAGGGTGCCAGGCACCGATGCAGGCCACCTTTCGCAGCCCCTTGTGGGTCTTCCGAGGCAGCTTCTTGGTATGCCAGCGGCTCGTGACCCCTGCAGGGAGGAGGAGCTAGTGGGTGAGAGGCCAGTCTGGACCCCATCCCCTCCAGGCAGCCTTCTAGGAGCTGCCATCTCGCCTGGCCCTACCTTTGACGCCCCGGCCCTTGGTGACAGCAATGACATCAATGACCTCACTCTGACTGAACACGCTGTGCACCGGCACCTGCTTCTCCAGCCGGGCCTGGGCCCAGGCCACCTTCTCAGCCACTGTGCCACCATTCAGCTGGATCTCCATGATGTGGGCTTTCTTCTGCCGGAAGGGCAGCAGCTTCATCTGTAGGACACAGCACGGCCAGTCGGTTCCCAGAGGGTCACACCCCCCATTTGCAGACATGGCATGACCAGCTGGTGACCGACCCTTGGCAGGCTTGCATGCCTTCATTCATTCAGCAGATGTTCCTGTGCCTGGTCTGGCTGTGTGCCATGTCCTGTGCTAGGTATGGGGCACAGCATGGAATGAGGCAGACAGGTCCCAGCCCTCATGGAGCCACCAACTAGTTAGGGGACAGAAGTCAAGTAAACTCTCGGAGAGAGCTAAGTATTCTGATGGAGTATCAGGGGATGGAGGGGACAGTATTGCACATGGGGTGGTCAGGGAGGGCCTCTCCAGGGAGGTGACACCAGTAATAAGACAGAGCCACTGGGTGAAGATCTAAGAGCTTTTAGGGCAGAAGAGACTGCATGTGCAATGTCTCTGAGACAGGGAAGATGCTGAGGAGTTGGGGGGATAGAAAAGAGACCAGAAGGTCTAGACCACGGGGAGCAGGGAGAGAGGAGTACAGGATGGAGTCAGGTGTGAACGGGAGCCTAGCCAGACAGATCTTGTAAGGAGGAACTCGAGGTTTATTCCAAGAGCGGGGTTTGACAAGATTAGATTCACATTTTTAAATATCTCTGCCTGCTGTTGTGTGAGGTACAGGCTGTGGGGACACACAAGTGGAAGCAGGAACACAGTATAATGCTCAACAATGAGTATTTATGGAGCACCTACTGCATACAAGGCTCTTGGTGGGTTCTGGGAGCACAGCACTTAACAGGCAGCCGTGGCCCCTGCCCCATGGAGCTCAAGGAAAAAGAATGTTAACCAATGACACAAGTAACCAGGAACTGCAAGAGTGAGCGTAACTGGGATTGGGAAGCTCAGGGCCTATGAAAGGTTTCCCTGAGGACAAGACACCCAGGAACGTTCTAGAATAAGCCAGAGGGTTTTGGTAACTTTTCAGCCAACATCAAGCCAGGTGCCATGTACGATTCGCACACACACTTGTGCCAAAACCCACAGGGAGGCAGCCAGGCCTCTACACCGGACACTTGACAGGAGATCCAGGCCCTTCAGGGCATTTCAGGGCCTTGGTTGACCACTGGGCACGGCCAATGCCCCACAGCCCTCAGAGCACTCTGACGTCTAGCAGCCCATCCCTGAGGCTTTGGGAGGCCAACCCTTTGGGCCTGTGCCTGGGGCTCTTGGTATTTTTAGGCTGACATTTACCAGGGCTCTGAGAAGCTGGAGTGAGGGAGGGTGAGCCCAGGGTGTGGACAGGCAGATGGTGTGGACAATGGTGTAGGGGACTGACCTGGGTGTGGACGATGACCCGAATGACCTTGCAGTACTTCTTCATGGCAGCAAAGTCTTTCTGGAGCTGCTTTTTGCCATTGGCATCGCGCCACCTCTTGCAGGCCTTTGTGAAGGCTTTTTTCTTGCTCTTGTGCCTGAGTCATGCACAGAGGGTGCTCAGAGGGGCCAGTCAGGCAGCTCCCTGGACCTGTCCTGCCCCTGCCTGCCAGCCACCCACAAAGCATGGGTCTTAGAATTAAAAATGTTCTCTTCCTTCCTCCTTTCCTTCCCAGGGGCCTACCCTGGGAGTCCCTGGGCTGGCTGCAGTCACCATCTTTAAGCACAGACTGTCCCTCCCTCTCTGGGCCTCTCTGGGCTTCCTCTGTAAACCAGGCACCGTCCCTGCCTCCTGGACCCTGAGAGTGAGTGGCAGATGCATAGGAGTTTGGGGAAAGGATGTGCCAGCCACCTGCCTACATTGCTACAGCTGCTGACCCCACTTATAAAGTGAACAGCTGGTACTGGCCAGGTGCCATGCACGACGTTCCTAACCCTCACTGGAACTCTGGGTGGTGGACACTGTTATCCCCATTCTACAGATGAAGAAGCCAAGGTTCAGAAAGGTCAAAGCCCCTGGATGAGGGGCAAATTGATAACAATAGAAACAAGGAAAACAAGGCCAGCTGGCATTTGCAGAGCACTTCCTCTGTGCTGAGCCCTTGACCCACTTTGCTCATCTAACAACAGCCCCAAGATGCAGGAACCTTTCCCATCTTCATTTGATGGTGTCTGTGGCATGAGGGGCAGAGGTGATATGAGGCTCTAAGAGGTCAGCCACTTTGCCTTGGTCACACAGCCCACACTGACACTAGTGACCAAACTTGTCACCTCCCATAGAAGGCCAGGGCTGGGCTGTGTCTCTGCCTCTGTAAGGAGGGTGATATCTGTGAGTTTCCTCAGGCAGAAGGGCCTTCCCTTTTGGGACCTATGCCAGGAAGAACTGAAGCCTAAGAATGCCTTTCTTTCTGATAAATAGAGCTTGTTAGTTGGCTGTTTCTCTTTTTACCCTGGCTGCTAGGAAGCTCGGAGCCAACTGCGATATTTCGTCAAATTATTCCTTTATTTAACTTTGAGGATTAAAATATTTGTCTCTTCTTTTTCCTCTATCCCAATGTCCTCTCCTGCCCACTGAATTTCCTGAATTTACTGTGCAAGCACGCGCGCACGCACACACACACACACTGTCCTGCCTTCCACACACTATTGACATTTCTCCTCCTGCTCACCCCCATCATTCTAGCACAGGTCTGGGAAGTAAAGTGGTCCCACCAGCCCACACACGGTCCACTCTAGGGCGCTCACCAGTCCTTGTAGAATCGCCGGCGGCACTCGTCACTGAGGTGCTCTGCAAAGATGGTCTTGAAGCTCCGCAGGCCTCGAGGAGTGGCCACGTAGCCCACGACACCCACCACCACCAGGGGCGGTGTCTCCACAATCGTCACAGCCTCCACTTCCTCCCGCTTGGAAATTTCTGGATAAGACCCAGAGACATGGGCATAGAGGGGAGCCTCCAGGGCCCATGGGTAAGGGCACAGAGTGGAAAAGCCAACTGTAGCCCCTCCTGCCTGAAGGAAGACGGAGCATCAGAGCCCCGGGGCTGCTGGGGACAGAGGCCCTCATGACCAGGGCCCCAGCCGACCTCCAACCCTCAGCCTGCCCACTCCCTGTCCCTTCTCTCCCTGCTCTGCCCTGGGCATGGAGCAGCTGCTGTTCCAGATCCCACAGGTTGTCCATGCTAGCTCTGACTCTGAGATCTCAGACAAGACCTGACCTGCTTCCTGCCTCAGTTTCCCCACCAGACCCTCCAGGAATGGACTAGGAGAGCAACAGCCAGGGCAGCATCCCCCAAAGGGTGGAGTTGAACCTCTTTTAGTGGGGCACAAAGGACCCATTTTTTTATTTTAATAGTTATGAATGTATGTTGATGAATTCTAGGAAAAAAACTATAACTTGTCCAAAACCCATGATTTTATAGCTGTTATTACTGAGGCTGATACAAAGTAAAAGAAGTGTATGTTTAAAAAATACATTAAGAGAGATGAAGAACAGGTGAGTAGTTGCCAGAAGGTTGGGGGGATAGCTGTGGCTATAAAAGGGCACAGGGAGACCCAGGAACAGATGGAATGTTACAAAGCGCTGCATGTAATAGAGCCATGTAGAACTAAGTACACACATGCGCACGTGCACACACAACTGGGGAGACGTGGGTCTATATCCGGTTTTGACATACAGCCTTACGAGAGTTTTCCATCAGGAGAAACTGGGCGAAGGGTACATGGGATTCTCTCTGCATAGTTTCTTACAACCACATGTGAATCTACAATGATCTCAAAACAAAAAGCATATTGAGGGCCTGCCTTTGAATCCTAGCTCTGTCGCTTACTAACTGGGCCACTGGCAAGTTTCATAACTGCTCCATTTCCTAATCTGTAAACTGCGAGCATTGACAGAACCCACCTCAATGGGTGGCCAGCTGTCAGTACTTAATGACAGTGAGCATTCTGACTGCGATTCTCATGAGCAGGGCCTCGCTCTTTCTGAGGCCCTTTCCCATCTTGGAGTCCAATTTTGGCTCCTAGCATCTGGAAGTTTCTCCAGATCATTTGGTGGTCAGGGATGCTCTTTCCAACCCCCTACCGCGACCCCCAGCTGTGTGTCCCTCTCTGGGCACTCACTGAGCCCTGGACGGTGGACCTCTCGCAGAGTATGTGTCATGCCAGCCTTGTAGCCCAGGAAAGCCGTGAGGTGCACAGGCTGGCTAGGGTCATCCCGAGGCCATGTCTTCACTTTGCCCCTGTGCCGGTGGCTCCTCTTATGGGGCAGGAAGCCCAGATGTCCATGACGAGGGGCAGAGAACTTCCGGTGGGACTGGGAGCAGGAGAAGAGGTTTGGTCAGAGTTGGGGTTGTCCTGGTGGAGGTGGCTGGATGGTCCCAAAGCCCAGACCCAGAGAATTGAGCTAGAGACCCCAGACTGAGGCCTGATGGACTTCAGGGCCTCCATCTGTCTGCAGGAAAGGAGGGAAAGGTTCACCCACCGGCAGTGTCTTAGAGATGGAGCCAGCCTCAAGCCCTTCTCACCCACAGGTTTCCTGCCTCAGTGGGCTCAGCTTGGCTGGGCCTAGGAGGGGCAGGCCCACACTGAGGCAAGGGCTACAGGGGCAGGGGGCCACTGCCACTCATTCATCTTCCCTATTCTAGGCCTGGCAGCCTGAGCTCTGGTCCCTGCTGTCCCCTCCAATCTTCTACTCCCTCACAGGTCCAAGAACTGTCCCTGCTGGAGGAGACTCCGAAAGCCCACCTGCCCTTCCCCAAGAAGCCACCTTACTCCAGCTCCAGCCCCCCAGCCCACTGACCATGGTGGCTGGTCCCTGCAGGTCAGGAAAGAAAGGGGCCTTCCTGCCAGACGCCGGAGGTCGAGTGGCAGGGCCAGGACACACAGCAGCCAGATCCCAGATTTAGCCCCTGGCAGAGGAGCTTGGCCATCTCCCGTGGTGCGCCAGGCACAGGCCTGGCTCAGGGCGGGGCAGTAGAGGGAGGCATTAAATAGGCAACCTGGGGTGGGGACACCTGGAGCCAAGGTTGGCACTCCTTTCCTCAAGGGCCCTGGGACAGGGTCACACACCCACTTTGTTTTCTGCCTCGTGAGCCCCCATCTTAGGACAGCAACAACTTGGCCTGGTGGAGTAAAGGAATCCCAGCTGAGGGCTTCTCTCAAGCAGCTGCCCACAAAGAGGGTCCAAGTCCAGTTTGCTGGCATTGAGGCAGAGGGGATTCCTGTCCTGTTCTAAGTGGTGTCAACCTGAGCTGCACAAAGAGGGGAGGGATGGGTAGGGTTGACTCTGCCTAGAGGATCACCAGGGCCCTGATTCAATATGAGAATCCCTCATAGCTGTGACCCAAGAACATTTAGATACTTTTATGAACTTGAGTTTTGCATGAAAAGGAGATTAAAATTTATTATTTTTTTATTATTTATTATTGTTTATTCCTACAGTACCTGGTCTTCCTAGGTGGTCTCCTATCCAAGTACTAATCAGGCCCGACCCTGCTTAGCTTCTAAGATCAGACAGGATCAGGCTTGTTCAGAGTATCATGGCCATAGACCATGGAGCATGGCTCCACTGGGGTGTGAACCCAGGACCTTCTGTGTGTAAAGTAGACGTGCTAACCGCTACACTATGGAACCATATCCATCTTATTTTTGTATTCAAAGATTCTATGGTTATAAAGTTCTGTAGCTTTAGAACCAGTTTTATATGTCTAAGATGTTTCTGAGGGTCTGTGGATTTTACATCACTCAGTGCTAAGATTCTGTGCTACTAGAATGTCACGGTTCTCTGTTTCCATTGTTTTTGTTTTGTTTTGTTTCGTTTTGTTTTTATGAATTACAAAACTACTTTTAATACCTTGGGCTGAGCCCCACAGGAATGAAATCACTAGGAAAAGGTTGTAACCCCTTCCACCCTAAGAGTGGCCCCAGGGAGAGAGGCTACCTGAGGGAAGGAAACTCAGAAGGGACTACTGCAGACTCAGGGCAGAGGGAATGCCATCAGTACTGGGACCCATGAGTACTATAGGACACTTAGGTGTGGCAGGACTCACTCCAGAAACACAGGCCAAGGACCAGAGGGTCAGACATGGAGCCACAAAGCTACTTGGATGGGTTCCTCTCTCTTGCTTGCCTTTTTCTGCTTCTGCTACATGATCTCTGAGTCCCTCTTCTCCCAGGCAACAGCAGAAAGCCATCATCTTGGCGATGTCAGGGCATCATGGCAATGGGAGGGGCTCTGCCCTGTCTCCGTTGGGTCCCCTCATTCAGTCTGATGTTACAGGCTAATGTTAGGATTCTTTGGGTCTGACAATGTCTGTTTCTAAGAGTTCATGATTTGAAGATTTGACATTTCTGTGATTCCAGATTCTATGTGTCCATAGAGTTGATGGCTCTGTGTCGGTGATCCCAGCCTCTGGGTAGGAAGTACCCCATACCTTCCCTGGTGCCAGCCATGGGCCATGCTAGGTATGGAGATCACAGAAGGCAGCCAGCAGGACCCTGATCAGTGGAGCTACCTCGGGGGCACAACAATGCTCAGGGCAAAAATGGAACCATCAGAATGCCCTGAGCCCAGAGTAGGAGCCATCTCTCCCTATAGGTGGGGACTCCAAGGGGCAAGCCCTGCCTTCTGCTCTGCCCCAGGCAGGTTCCCCAAGCTCAGTGGCATCAGTCAGTCCATAAGGGGCTCTGGCAGGTATAGTGGAGCCCACAGAGGACTACAGGGAATGGGTAATCCAAGAAGTCATCTGGAAGAGTAGTTGGTGTTTTTTGTTGACTTTGTGGTGTTATTTGTTTGCTCCACCAGCCTGAGTCCTCCAGAAGAGCCCAGCTGTGTTCACCTTGTTCCCTGCTGCACTTGGCACATGACTGCACGCCGTTGGAACTAAATAAATACCCGTGTGAATCTCCTTTTAGAATGTAAGCAGGGGTGCTCCACAGACAGAGACCCAGGGAGGCCACAGGTGCAATGGCGCTGCGGTCCCACAAGGGGGCGTCCGCGCCACAAGGAGTTGCCCAAGCCCCCCATGGATGGGTGAGGGGAAAAGTTCCATCGTGCATCGCGCGCGCCGGACGTGGTGCGCAGGCGCGGCCGCTCTCGGGCGTCCTACGTTGCGGACGAACTAGGTCGCGGGACAGTTGGAGGCCAGCGCAGCGCGTCTGCGAAGAACCCCACGGTGCCGCCATGCCAGACAACTGGGACAAGGACGTGTACCCCGAACCCCCGCGCCGCACGCCGGCGCCTTCGCCGCAGACCTCGCTGCCCAACCCCATCACCTACTTGACGAAGGCTTTCGACCTCCTCGTGGACCGGCCTGTGACCCTCGTGAGAGGTACGGGCCCCACCCGGTCTTCGCCGCTCCCCGGGGCCCTCACCGCTTCTCGGAGCCCCTGACACCTCGGGTCCCGTGACCCATCCTGGACACCCCTCTGCACTCTGGGCTTCATCCCCGTGACTACCTCCCGCTGCAACCCGGGGCCCCCATCCGGAGACCCGCGGGTCTCGTCGCCTTCTTGGACCCCTACTGCACCCCAGGAGGCGAGGCCCCTTACTATACCAGGACCTGTCAGTGCTCTCCGGCCCCCGCCGCTTGGGGAACCCTCTACGCAACCCTAGCTTCCTACCTCGCCTAAATATTAAGGGTTTGCATATTGCAATCATCTGTGACCTGGGGCTTGTTAAGACCCCAGTCTCCCTGCACGCTTTGCATCCTAAGTGCACAATAGGCGGTCAGCAAACGGATGTTGAAATGAAGGGGTTCCCCGCTAACCCTTTGCACACCTGCAAAATGACAGGGGTGGTCAGGTGATGGGTGAGGTCCCTTAAACCTAAACGTGCTGTGACTTGTCCTCCTTGAGCTCCCACGCTTGAAAGCTGCCCAAATCCCCCCATCTCTGGTCCAAACCAGGGGAATGTGCACGGCAATTCTTTCTTGCCCAGTTTGTGATTCATCCAGTCCTGTGTGGCAACCGAGCATTTTTTGCCCTAGTCACTAGTGCCAGGCGATTCATCTATGCATTTAATTAATTCATTCATTCAACAATAAAACATTTGGGGTGCATAGCAGGCTCTGATGGCTCTTTTGTTAGGGAAGCAAACCCGACCCCCAAGGTCTGGAAAAGGCACTGCAGTGGACCCACTCCCTCTTTTTTGTAGCAGTTTCTTAGGAAGTGTTTTATAGGTCTGGATGTATCAGATCTCATTAGGTCCAGTTTATTAATTTACCAATGGGTATGTGGAGGCCAGGTCAGCTGTGGCAGAACTGCAGCTAGAATCCCTCCTGGTGGCTCAGTGGATTCCCTGTGCAGGGAAAGGGCAGGGAGGTGGGGATTGCTGATAGGCAGGGCCTGTAGCAAACTATGGACTTGTAGAGAGCCTGGATTCTGAATCCTGCCTTCCATCTGTCTCAATCTCATCTGTAAACGAGAAGGGCCTCTCACAGGAAGCTCTGCATAAACCTAGACATCAATATGTAGCCTAATCCTTACCAGGACTAGTTATGTGCCTGTCCACGCTTCCTGAGTCCAGTTGCCAGTCTTTGTAAAAGCTGGGAACATTTGGGAAGGCTTCCCGCTCCTACAGCTTATGAGAAAGCTGAGAGCCCATCCAAACCAATGGGCCCTTTGGGGTTTTCTTTGCAGAGTTTATAGAGCGGCAGCACGCGAAGAATAGGTATTATTACTACCACCGGGAGTTCCGCCGTGTGCCAGACATCACCGAGTGCAAGGAAAAGGATATCATATGCATGTTTGAAGCAGAAATGCAATGGAGAAGAGACTAGTACGTCCTGTCCTTGGGGATGCCATGGGATGGTTGTCAGCAAGAATGCTTCCTGGGGTTGGCCCAGATCCTGGGGATAAAGGGGGTCAAACCACAGGACTTGAAGGTCCTGCTTTCACTCTACTCCCTGGGTACAGGAATGGGATTCCTTGTACACACCATCTTTGTTCCTTTATCTTTCAGCAAGGTTGATCAAGAAATCGTTAACATTATCCAGGAAAGGCTAAAGGCCTGTCAGCAGAGGGAAGGTGAGAGCCACAGGCAGAACTGTGCCAAGGAGCTGGAGCAGTTTACCCAGGTGGCCAAGGCCTACCAGGACCGCTGTAAGCCCCACCCTAGCCTGACCCCTGGGTCCTCCTCCTTGCTACCCGACTCCCCAACTCTGTGTAGTCTCCACAGGGCTGTGGGCTGAAAGTTTTGCTAAAACTAGTTTTCAAATCTATGCATCTGTTTTTTTACAAATATTACTGCTCAAGGCTAATTAGTCAGCTTTTATGGGGGTGTAATTGGAATTGGTATAAAGACCCCTCTTCCCATCGTGGCAGAAGTGGTCCATGACTTTCCTCTCCCCATTTCTTTCTCCAGATCACGACCTGGGAGCCCATTATTCTGCCAGGAAGTGCCTGGCAAAACAGAAGCAGAGAATGCTAGCAGAGAGAAAAGCTGCTAAAGAAGCTACTGCTGCCTGAGTAGCTTCTTGAGCCCCCATCACATGACTGTCACTATTACTAAAATAAAAAATTGTGAAACGTCTTTTTGGTGTCATTTTCAGCCCTCAACCTGGACACATTGATGAGCTTTATAATTCTTCATCTGATTGGCCCCATCTACTAATTTCAGCCACCACTATGCTCATGAAATAAATAGAAAGCAACTATTAACAGATTTAATTCACTTTATTTCTCTTGTATAAAATTATGTGGTAGCCACTGCTGGAGCCTGGGTCCTCTGCACAGAAACTCTATTCCTTGTACACACCATCTTTGTTCCTTTATCTTTCAGCAAGGTTGATCAAGAAATCGTTAACATTATCCAGGAAAGGCTAAAGGCCTGTCAGCAGAGGGAAGGTGAGAGCCACAGGCAGAACTGTGCCAAGGAGCTGGAGCAGTTTACCCAGGTGGCCAAGGCCTACCAGGACCGCTGTAAGCCCCACCCTAGCCTGACCCCTGGGTCCTCCTCCTTGCTACCCGACTCCCCAACTCTGTGTAGTCTCCACAGGGCTGTGGGCTGAAAGTTTTGCTAAAACTAGTTTTCAAATCTATGCATCTGTTTTTTTACAAATATTACTGCTCAAGGCTAATTAGTCAGCTTTTATGTGGGTGTAATTGGAATTGGTATAAAGACCCCTCTTCCCATCGTGGCAGAAGTGGTCCATGACTTTCCTCTCCCCATTTCTTTCTCCAGATCACGACCTGGGAGCCCATTATTCTGCCAGGAAGTGCCTGGCAAAACAGAAGCAGAGAATGCTAGCAGAGAGAAAAGCTGCTAAAGAAGCTACTGCTGCCTGAGTAGCTTCTTGAGCCCCCATCACATGACTGTCACTATTACTAAAATAAAAAATTGTGAAACGTCTTTTTGGTGTCATTTTCAGCCCTCAACCTGGACACATTGATGAGCTTTATAATTCTTCATCTGATTGGCCCCATCTACTAATTTCAGCCACCACTATGCTCATGAAATAAATAGAAAGCAACTATTAACAGATTTAATTCACTTTATTTCTCTTGTATAAAATTATGTGGTAGCCACTGCTGGAGCCTGGGTCCTCTGCACAGAAACTCTAGTGTGGGTCTTTACAAGATGGTCAGTGAATTCCTAGAAAGACACAAGGTTTTAGTTGTAGCCAAATATACTATCACCCTCTACTTATCTAGGCTGAGTTAGCAGGCAGGCACTACCTGATAGGGAGACTTGGTGAACACGGTCTCTTTCCAGAGGTCAGGGGTGAGATAGCTGTAGGTCTTAGAGATGGCATCAAATGTGGCCTTGGCTAGAAAATAGAAAATATCAGAAGATCGGTGGATTCACCTGAAACAAGACCCCAGGTGCAGACAGAAGACCCCCTGTTGCACTCTTAAGAGAGCCCACTTTGGGTTGGTCTGCCATGCATTTTAAGTTTTCCTCTGAAAATACACCAACTTCATACTAGGTTTGATAAAGCAGAACGAAGAAAGGCCAGAACTTGTACGTTGGATACCTACCAAAGTTACCCAGGGTGGCAGTGCAGCCCCTGGCTGAGGTGTAGCAGTCATCAATACCTGCCATCATCAACAGCTTCTTGGGCACAGGGGCTGAGACAATGCCAGTGCCCCTGGGGGCAGGGATGAGGCGCACCAGTACAGAGCCACAGCGGCCAGTCACCTGAAAGGGATGAGGGAATCAGAAGACTAAGGCTGGAAGGAGCCTACCACTGCCCAAGTCCCATCAATCACTACCACTGAGCCTACCTTGCAAGGGACGGTGTGGGGCTTGCCGATCTTGTTCCCCCAGTAGCCTCGCCGCACAGGGACAATGGAGAGCTTGGCCAGGATGATAGCCCCACGGATGGCAGTGGCTACCTCCTTGGAGCACTTGACACCCAAACCGACATGTCCATTGTAGTCCCCAATGGCAACAAATGCCTGTGAAGAGACTGAAGTGGCTGGTGGTCCACTAGCTTACACAATTATCAGTAAACACTGCCCAGGGCTTGTTGTGCCCCTCAAGGAAGGAGAGGCCACAATGAGACCAATCTGAGATCTTGAGGAGATCCTTTCTCTCTCTCCCCATTACGAAAGTTACACGTATGAAAACAAGTGTAACTATGCAGAGCTGGGAGAGTCTTACAAAGCCCCTTGGCAGAAATAGCCCATTAAGACAAGATAGCTGGGATACCTTGAACCGGGTCCTCTGACCAGCACGGGTCTGCTTTTGCACGGGCATAATCTTCAAAACCTCGTCTTTGAGAGATGCTCCCAAGAAAAAGTCAATGATCTCAGATTCCTGAAAGAGATTTGTGACAAAAACACTTACACTAAAAACCGCCTGTGAACAAGTCATTGGGAATCTCCACCTGGCTTGCTAATAAAACTGGTATTCCACTTGTCCAGCTTTTCCTCTCCAGGTTGATTACCCGACATCAGAGATGGAAAACTCATGCACTCGAACAACCAACCTCTCAAACTTGGATCCCTGGGCCCCTCAGTAGCAGAGCAATACCAGACCTCATCCCTTGTCTTCAATACAACTGACACTCCCCATGGCCGCACCTCCCCAATGCCCTATTCGAAGAAAAAGGACCCCCACGTTACCTTGATTGGCAGGGAGAAGAGATAGATCTCCTCCAGAGACTTGATCTTCATGTCCTTGACCAAGCGGCCCAACTTAGTGACGGGAATCCACTGCAGAGAAAAGGTGCTGATGACAAGGGCTGCCCGCCCGACCTCGCTTATCGGCCCGCCTCACGCGCATGGCCTGGACCTACCTCCTTATCCTCAGCTTTGCCTCCGCGAGCTCCGCGGCCTCGGCCCCGGCCGCGACCCCGGCCACGACCTCGACCCCGGATGCCGCTGCCGAATCCTCCACGGAAGCCGCCGCGGCCTCCAATCCCAGGGCCCCCGGGGCCTCCGGGCCCTCCCGCAGCACCGGCGTCATCCGCCATTTGCTGAAGAGAGCGAAAAAAACCAGCCAGTTAGTGAGATCCTGGCATCTGCTGCCGCCCGGACTGGAACTAACCCCCCGAGATTGGGGGCACGCCAGCTCAGGGGTACAGCCCGATGTCCAAGGATTCCCTCCCGCCAAGGCCGGCGCTGCATAAAGGATCACACTCACGTGTTTTCTCGGAGAAGAACAAGTGCGTCTGGGAGCGAGTTTTTATACCGCGCCAAATGCCGCGAGATCTAGATTGCCCCGCCGGGCCTGTAAGAAGCCTGTGATTGGCTTCATGAGGCCCTGCACCCGCCTAGCATGGAGTGCGCCTGCGCATCTGAGGGTCCACGGCCCAGAATCTGTGTGACGTCGGAACTGCTATAAGTGCCGCTCCCGTATGCGTTGGGCCCTCTCCATTTGCAGGTAGGTCCTACCACTCTCCTCGCCGTTCCCTATTCATCGCTGGGTGGTGGGCGGAGATCGGCGTTGGTTGAAAATCACCTGCGGCTTTGGCTGTGGCCGTAGGTGAGATTCGGCGCCCAGAGCCACCGGGGGACTCAGCTCACCGCCCACTTTTCGATGTGGGGAGGTGAAACCCAGGCCCCGACATGCGCCATCATTCAGGCTGCCGGTGCTCTGGCCTCTATCCCTGACTTCTGACCTTGTTTTCTGTCCGCAGGACGCCTGGATCCCCCAAGCCTGAGGCCGACGCCGCCAGGGCCGCGGGGGTAGGAGGACTCGTCTCTCTTTCAATAAAGTTGTTGGTCTAACTCATCTGCATGTAAATGTTTTTGACCACCTTCCCGTAAGTCTGGAAAATGCATCTTTTGACGTTGGTACCAAGGTATAAAGGATACCATTGTGGGCCTTAGCCTCTTCTTGCCAGTCGGCCTACCTCTGCTTTTTATACCACACAGGGGTAGATCTTGGGTCTGGAAGTTAGAGTATGGCTCCGAAGGTCTCATACCGGGTACCTTTCACCTTGAGCTTGATGGGAGTCGGGCTGGGCCTGCAAACCACAAGCCGGGATGGGAGTGTAAGATTCACAGTTCAAAGGCCTACAGTGGCTCCTTATTTCTCTCAGGACATGGTAAGGGTCTTTAGGTTTTGATGAGGTCACCACCCTGGTACTGAACCTGCATTTCTATGTTCTCTCACATTTGGGAACATGCTAGTTTCTCATTGGCCTGCCCAGATGGTCAGAGCCTACCTACTCTGGAAGGCTTTCCCACAGAGTACTTCCCTTAGTGTGGGAATCTGGTTCTCATTTCCCAGATCTGTACCCAGGAGCTAGCAGCATGGGTCTTGGATGATAAAGCTCCTGAGCTCTTGGAGATTTTAGCCACCTGGGCAGCACTATTTGAAATTGAAGAGAACAATCTCTGCATTCCTTCTTAAGTCTTGGGAAAACTGCCCCCAGACGCTTGGTTCTTGGCCTAGTGCTGCTTGGGTATCAACCACCCCTATGGCAGGGGCTCCAGGTACCTGTCCCAGATCTGGGATACTATACTCCTCATCTGTGACTAGAGAGGGGAGCAAGGTCAAGGTGGTACAGGGTCCCAGTGGGACCTTGTGATTGGCCTGAGCTGGACAATGCCACTATGATGTCAGTGCACTACTGCTATGAAATGGAGGCTCCTCAGCACCTTGGGGTCAGTGGAGCAGCCATCCAGACACAGATCATGGTGAGCCCAAGACACTCTTTGCCTCTGGCCTTTAAATTTGTGCCTAACTCCAGAGACCCACCCAGAGCTGGCCCCCCATTCTTACACTGAGAAGGGATGGACAGTGAGTTACGAGCTTGCGAGTGAGATGAGGAAATCTTTCAGAGAGCTCTAGCCAAGGCCAGCATCAGCTGGGGATTGGTAGTCGGAGGTCTTGATGCTCATAGCTGCCCCCTCGAAGTGGGTGCTGACCCAACCCTCCACTTGGGGTTCTCATGTGGCCCACCTCCACACCCAAAGCTTCCTGGGGTTTCCCTCTGGGCCTGTGGAGTGGGGGACTGGAATCTGGTCCTAGCCAGACCCTGATGCTGGCCTGGCATTTGCAGAGTGGAGGGTATGATCTCAGCCTCTTCGCCAGACCTCCTGACAGCAACTTCCTGTGCTCTGTCTGCCACGGGGTTCTCAAGAGGCCGGTGAGGTTGCCATGCCGCCACATCTTCTGCAAGAAGTGCATCCTCCGGTGGTTAGCCAGGTGCTACTGGGTACACAAGAGGCTGGGAGGGCAAAGGTGGGGATGAGGCCATTCTTGTAAACCAGAACAGAAAGGAAGGTCTGCAAAGCACTGAGTCACAATGGCCATAAAGATTTGGTTGCCAAATCTGGGACACTGAAATATGGGGGTCCTCACCCTGTGATATCTGTAAGTCCCTTGTCCCAGCCTCAGACCTGAGAGCTCCCTATAAAGCCCTCTCGTGCCTCTAACAGCTAGAGAGAAGGGAAGACCAGAGGCATGTTGCTGCCACTTGCTACCTCCCCAATCCCAATATACCCCCACCCATGCCTCCTAGACAAAAGACCTGTCCGTGCTGCAGGAAAGAGGTGAAACGGAAAAAGATGGTCCATGTGAATAAGCTCCAGAGGACCATTGGCCGCCTAGAAGTCAAGGTAGCTCAAAGCACCCACCGCCACCACCCTCCTTGTCTCTTTGGGAGTTGGGGCAGAGCCAGGAGAAGGGGATAAGGGGAATCCCATCCTCGAAGGGATGATTTCTGCTTCAGCAAGACAGCAGCCTTGGGGGTATCAGACCTGGCTGAAATGTCTCATCTCTACCCTTTACCTACTGTGAAACTCTGGGCAAGTTACCTAACTTCTCTGAGCCCTTGGGGCCTCAAAATGGGGATTATAGAAAATGTTTAGAAAATGAGTTGTTTACTGTGCTGGCTATTACTCTCCTGCCCTCTATAATTTTTTTTTTTTTTTCAATTAGAGTTGACATTCAACACTTTTTAGTATACAGCATAGTGGTTAGACATTTATATAATTTACAAAGTAATCTCCGTAAGTCTACCTAATTCTATAGATGAGGAAATGGAGGTCCAAAAAAAAAAAAGAAAGAAAGAAATAGCCTGGTATACGACTTGCTAGACGAATCCAGCCATGTACCTTCCTGTTTTGTAAGCCTCAGGGCCAGACCCCCCTCCTCTCAGAAATCTAGATTCTTCCCACTTCCAAGCATTTGCCCAACTGCTCCTCTCTCTCCACCACGTCATTGGTGCCATAAGAGCCTGGGAGGCTCCCAGTTAGTCCACTGTTTCTTGCCCAACCTGGTTTGGCTCACAGGGTGCTCTCCCCACCCCCAGTGCAAGAACGCTGAAGCTGGCTGCTTGGTGACGTGCCCCCTGGCCCATCGCAAGGGGCACCAGGACTCATGCCCTTTCGAGCTGATGGCCTGCCCCAACGAGGGCTGCACCGAGCAGGTGCCGCGGGGGGTCTTGACTGAGCACCGGCAGCAATGCCTACATGGTATCCAGCAGCGCTGCCCCCTGGGCTGCGGGGCCACCCTGGGCCCAGCAGAACGTGCACGCCACAACTGCTACCGCCAGCTGCGCGAGGCCTGGGGCCAGCGCCAGGAGCACAGCCGGACCCTGGTGCTGTGCCTGCTACAGCGCTTGCGCAAGTTACACCGTACTACCAACCTCATCCACCGGCAGCTGGCCCAGCTAGGAGACTTCCTGGAGGATGACACCCTGCTCGTGAGCACTAGGCAAGAGGAGGCTGAGGCCACCCCAGAAAACAGCATTGAGGCTGAAGTGTGGGGGGGCCAGAGCCAAAGTGGCGTTTAAATATAGAAGTAAATAAACGCGAGTGCTCGCCAGATCCCGGCCGTCTCCGTGCTTGCTGGCCTCACAGCCTTATCTCATTTGCCGCCCCCCTCCCCACCTCTCCAGGCACTACGCCTTCACTCCGTGGGGATACTTTGGTCTTTCTCCCTATTCTTGTCCCCCTCTCCAAGTCCTTTCCCACCACTGTGTCTTCTTACTGGCTATACCCCCTGCCTGAAAGCTCTTCCCTTCACTCTTGTCTGGCTTCTTTCTACTCAAAATGAATGTCTCCTAGCAGAAGTTTTCCCAGTCTCTTTCCCAGTTACTTTCTACCAGTCTGCTTCCCACCTTCATAGCCAATAGCACCAATGGCTCAAAACTCTGAGCTGATTAAAACCCAACTCCTCACAGTGATTCACGAGGAACCCCATTATCTCTGACCATCTGCCCTTATATTCTCTTTCTTACTCATTCCCTGCAACCACAGGAACTTCTGTTGCTTCTCCTAAGGCCAGACCTGTGCACTGGCTGTTCCCTTAGCTTGAAGCACTGTTCCTCTAGATGATAAAGATGAACTGGAACTTTAAGCAAACATAATCAGTGAGGACGGTGTATGAGAAGACCTAGGGCTTATGGAAGATCTCGCGCTCTGCGTAATGGCAAAAACCCTACAGTAAGAACTCTTGTTTATAAAAAAGCTCTATGGTTCCAATTTCCTCTTCCATTAACTTTTTTCCATTATTTAAATACTCCTCCTTCTTGGCAGGCCGGTCTTAATGTGCACGTGGTTTGCCATGTCTGTATGTTATGGGTTGCAGTCTTTTTTTTTCCCAAATAAATTCTTTTGGTGATGAAACACCGTGGATATTATTTTTCAGTCGACAATAACCACATGGCTCCTTGCTTCACCTACTTCAGGTTTTTGCACAGATGTCACCTCCATGAAGCCTCCTCCACCACCCCATTTAAAATTGAAGCCCCTGAACTTTGCTCCATTCCTCGCTGATTCCACAGCCCTTCCACTCAGCCCTCATCTAACTAGCAGGCTACTCGAAGAGTTTTTTTCCTTCTCTAGTGTCTCCCAAGTTCCTAGAACGGTACTTTGCACATAGAATGTGCTCAAATACTTAAATGACTCTGAAATTACTAGACTTATTCATTTACATGCATTATTTCTCATACCACACCGTGTGCTGCAAGGCCTGGTTCAAGGGTCTCCTCACTGACGCACGCGACCGCGCTCGCCCCCAAATACCAGAATGCCGAAGAGGCAGGACCCTTGGGATGACTTTAATAAACACTTCTCAGGGAATGCCTTTTTAAATTTCCATTAAAAGACCGGACAGCTAGCGACTCAGTCCCCTGTCAGTCTACCCCATCCGCTGGAGCCACTTCCAATCCGCTCCGCAACCCAGCCTGCGGGCCGGAAATGCCTCGGCCGGGTTCCGCTTCCTGACGCAGCAGCCACTAACCACAGCAAAGATGGCGCCGAGAGCGCAGTGCTAGTTACGTCACATCAGTAGTGGACGGTGACGATACCGAAGTGCGCCGGCAGTGAGGAGTGGCGCACGGGTTCCCCTCACGCGGCGGTGGCAGCTGCGGTGGCGGCAGCGACAATGGAGGAGGCTGCAGCGAGAGTGGGCCGCTTCAAAGCCAAGTGAGCTGGGGCGCTGGGGCTGTGGGCGCCGTCCGGGGAGAGAACCGGGTTCGCAGAGGAGTAGCGAAGGAGCATGCTGTGAACCGGGTGCTCATTCGAGTCTGGAGGGGCAGTGAGGGATGTGTACGGACTGGCCCTCGAGGTCGTGGCGGCTGTGGCGTTGTAAGGTAGAAGAGCCGGCACCAACTGCTCTCGGGGAGGACTGGAACCCGACCGGGGACAGCCAGCCTCGGTTACTTAAACTAGCAGCCGGCTCGGGGGTGGGGACCAGAAATCCCAGAGGAGGAGGAAGGGGCGGACTGAGCACGAATGGAGGCTGATCCTGGACAGAAACGCCACCCTTCATCCCTCAGGTAGCGGGAGAACCACCTCTGGAGCAGGCGACCTGTGAGCTTTCACTTGTCCCTCTTCTCCAGGGAGCAGGAAGAGAGGTCAGGAGATGGGCCCGGTCAGCAGTGGCCCAGGAAGCCCTGCATCCTTTGCTTATTCAGTCCCCAAACTTGCTGAACATCTAGGTGCTTAGTGTCCGGAACGGGACAGATGCAGCCCTGCTGCGTGCAACGCAGTTTGGCGGGATAAACATATTAAGCAAATCCTTTCCATTAGTGGCTGTGACGAGTACTAGCAACGGGAAGCCCTGGCGCTAAGAGCCACCTCTGTTGGATGGTCAACTGGGTTCAGGGGTTGGGAGGCTTTGTTTCATTTTGGCAGTAAGCCTTCCTGCAGTGGAGTTAGCCAGGTGCCTTTGAAATCTGAGAAGAGAGATTTAGGCAGTATACAGGGAACAACCTGTTTGAAATAAGAAGGTCAGCAGTGGCCCCTTCAGGCAGGATCTTGGTAACATGTAAGGAGAGGGGAGGGTTTTAAGGTACGATAGTGATGTAAACAGATGTACTAAAAGGCTTTTAGTGAAGATATTGGAACAACTGTCTAGAGGGGAGAGTGCAGTGGCCTGGAGGCAGCTGAAGAGGGAAGAGGGCTACTTGGAGATTGGGGTGCAGGCCAGGCTGGTGTTAAGGAAAGGGCAGGCGGGACCTCAGGGCTGAAGATGTTCAGAATCATGTTGCTATGGGCTAGTACCCAGGCCTGACCTCCCCTGGCCAGCAGGGGGCACCCAAGGCCTGGCCTACTGGGCCTACTGGGGAATCTGTGAAGACTGAGCTGTTGGACTGCCTATGCTGTCACCCCACCCCTTGTGGATCAACAACCAGCTTTGGGTCTCCAATATTCTGTACAATGGGGGTACTAACACTTACTTCACAGTTCTGTTGAGAGGTTAAAGAAGGTACCAGTGAAAAGACACCCTCCCCCCCGACCCCAGCCTATCCCTGTTCCTGCTGCCTGTAATCAATCACAGGGGCCTAATGGGTTAACTCCTGGGAGAGCACCCAGTACTGGGCACTGGGGACCAAGGAGTGGGTCATTCACTCTCTCCCTTTGTCCTTCCTCTAGCTATGCTGTTGAGCGCAAGATCGAGCCTTTTTACAAGGGCGGGAAGGTGCAGGTACCAGCCTAGGGAGTGGCGGAGTGGTGGGGCAGGCAGGGGCTGCAGAGTGTTACCTTTGGCTGAGGCCTCTCTTTCACCAGCTGGACCGGACTGGGCAGCACCTCTTCTGTGTCTGTGGTACCAGAATCAACATCTTGGATGTGGCCTCGGGGGCCATACTACGTAGCCTGGAGCAGGTGAGGGCAAGGAGAGCCAGGGCGAAGGGGCTAGTGTGGAAGAGCAGCCTATTCTCAGGTACTGTGTGTCCACTCTTGCCCCCTAGGAGGACCAGGAGGACATTACTGCCTTTGACCTCAGCCCTGATGATGAGGTATGTAGAGAAGGGACAGGAGGGGGCTCCACCACCTCCCAACCGAACTCTGAGTTTATGAGGATGGGCAGCTATGCCTCTACCCCCACCTGAACTGCATCCTCCTTCAGGTGCTGGTGACAGCCAGTCGGGCACTGCTGCTGGCTCAGTGGGCCTGGCGAGAGGGCAGTGTCACCCGCCTGTGGAAGGCAATACACACAGCCCCTGTGGCCACCATGGCTTTTGACCCCACCTCCACACTACTAGCCACAGGTAGGACCCCAGCTCAGTGGGTAGGCCAGCTAGAAGGCACATGGGCTGGGGGCTTTGGGCATACCAGTCCCCTTACCAAAAGCACATTCCCACAGGTGGCTGTGACGGGGGTGTGCGCATCTGGGATATTGTGCAGCACTATGGGACACACCACTTCCGGGGCTCGCCAGGTGTCGTGCAGTGAGTAGGAGCAGCAGAGGCTGGGTGGGTGGGGCATCACTCTGAGGTGGCATAGCTCACTGACCCTGCCCACCTGCCTATAGTTTGGTGGCCTTCCATCCGGACCCTGCACGCCTGCTCCTCTTCTCCTCAGCCATGGACGCCGCCATCCGCATATGGTCACTACAGGACCGGTCGTGCCTGGCTATACTGACTGCCCACTATAGTGCTGTCACCTCTCTGACTTTTAGTGCTGATGGCCACACCATGCTCAGGTCAGTGGCCTTCCACCTAGGCCTTGGCAGGAATTGGGTGATTGAGTGGGTGGTGGGTGCAAGACTGAGAGTAGAGAATAAGGTGGCTGTTTCCTCCAGCTCGGGCCGGGACAAGATCTGCATTGTCTGGGACCTGCGGAACCACCAGGCCCTGCGGACCGTGCCAGTGTTTGAGGTGGGCGTACCAAGGGGTCAGGGCTAGTGAGTGGGGTAGGGTTAGGGATGGGTCTGTCACCTCTGACCTGCTTGTCCCCAGAGTGTGGAGGCTGCAGTGCTGTTGCCAGAGGAACCAGCACCCCAGCTGGGTGTGAAGTCCACGGACCTGCACTTCTTGACAGCTGGCAACCAAGGTGTGTGGGGCCAGGCCAGGGTGGGCAGCAGGGACTTAGGGTAGCCCATGGACCTATAAGTCCCAGCAGCCCGTGTCCTTGCACAGGCATATTGCGTGTGTGGGAGGCAGCCTCTGGGCAGTGTGTACACACACAGCAGCAGCTGTCAGGCCCTGGGCGGGAGCTGACCCACTGCACTCTGGTCCGAGCTGCTGGCTTACTCCTCAGTGTTACTGCTGACCACAACCTGCTGCTCTATGAGGCACGCTCGCTTCAGCTACAGAAACAGGTGAGCACTGCCCCTCCCCAGTTTATGGTCTGTGGGCACCAGCCTTCCATTCACACATGTCCTAGTTTGTGTCCTTCTACCCCACAGTTTGCCGGCTACAGTGAGGAGGTATTGGATGTCCGGTTCCTTGGGCCTGAGGACTCCCACATTGTTGTGGCCTCCAATAGCCCATGCCTGAAAGTGTTTGAGCTACAGACTTCAGCCTGCCAGATTCTCCATGGCCACACAGGTGAGGGCACCCAGTCGATGCCCCTGGACTCTCTTCCTGGACTTAATTGCTTCTCCTTTCCCTTAACTGGTCTCTCCCCACTTCATCCCAGACATTGTGTTGGCCCTCGATGTGTTCCGGAAGGGGTGGCTATTTGCCAGCTGTGCCAAGGTAAGGTACCCCAAGGTGTAGAGGTATGAGTCCCAAGTAGGGAAGCCTAGCCCAGCACTTGTCCTCACCCTTCTCATCCCCAGGACCAGAGTATCCGTGTCTGGAGGATGAACAAGGCTGGCGAAGTGACCTGTGTGGCTCATGGCTCTGGGCACACACACAGCGTGGGCACCATCTGCTGCTCTAGGTATTGGATCAAGGCTAGGGTCCAGGGCTGTCACAGAGGCAGAGGCTCAGGCCCTGCTAATGGGGTTCTGTTTTAGGGAGATGAGGAGAAGGTGGCTTTGGCCTTGCTTTTTGACACTCCAGCCCAGGGATGTGGAACAAAGAATGGGCCAGGGGCACGCCCAGGTGCCATGGGAGGGGCGTTTCTAGAAGTGGCCTTGGGGCTGGGTAGATAAAAGGGGTGGGGCATTGGGGCAGAGAGAATGACCCTGAACATGGCCCAGGTGAAAAAGGTGTTCCCTGCATTTATGGCTGGGGGTTCCATTTTTGGGACAAAGTCACCTGGTGTGGCAGCACCAAGGGTGGATGGTACAGTTTTAAGTTGGGGCAAGTGGTGTTGGAGAGCTTCTCTGGTCTGGACCGTGGTCCTATAGGCTTGAGCCATGGTGCATTGGCAGACAAGGCTGGTGGGGCGCTCAACAGGTGTCTCTTCCTCCCCCTCATTGGGCCTTAGGCTGAAGGAGACCTTCCTGGTGACCGGCAGCCAGGATTGTACTGTGAAGCTGTGGCCCCTCCCCGAAGTTCTGCTGTCCAAGAACAAAGCCCTAGACAGTAGTCCTGTCCTCCTACAGGCCTTGACCACACAGCGTTGCCATGACAAGGTGACCACATGGCACATTGGGTCAGTAGTATGGTGGGGCCCTCGCTAGCATAAGGGTCTGAGCTGTTGCCTACTCCCCTCACCAGGACATCAACAGTGTAGCTGTTGCCCCCAATGACAAACTGCTGGCCACAGGCTCACAGGACCGCACAGCCAAGCTCTGGGCCCTGCCACAGTGCCAACTGCTGGGTGTCTTCTCAGGCCACCGGCGTGGCCTCTGGTGTGTCCAGTTCTCACCCATGGACCAGGTGCTGGCCACAGCCTCAGCTGATGGCACTGTCAAGCTCTGGGCACTGCAAGACTTCAGCTGCCTCAAGGTAAGCTGACCCTACACTAGGCCTGACCCCTACCTGATGCCATCTCATGACCTCCCTGTCCCAACCCTGCAGACATTTGAGGGGCATGATGCTTCTGTACTGAAGGTGGCCTTTGTGAGCCGTGGCACACAGCTGCTGTCCAGGTGAATGGGTTGGGGACAGGGCAGTGGGTGGAGTGAGCTGGGGGACAGGCCCCAACACTGAGCCCCCTCCCAATCCCAAACCCAGTGGTTCTGACGGGCTCGTGAAGCTCTGGACCATCAAGAACAACGAGTGCGTGAAGACACTGGACGCACACGAGGACAAGGTCTGGGGGTTGCACTGCAACCGTCTGGATGACTGTGCCCTCACTGGTGCCAGTGACTCCTGTGTCATCCTCTGGAAGGTGTGTGGGCTTGGGTTGGGTGGGCACAGAGTGGGTAGGGCAGCATGGGGGTACCAGTCTGACCCCCGTCTGACATTAGGATGTGACCGAGACAGAGCAGGCAGAGGAACAGGCCAAGAAGGAGGAGCAGGTGGTCAAGTAAGTCTGGGGGTTCCCACCTCAGCCTCCCTGTGAGTGTCACCCATATGTCTGGCACGTCCTATGCATTAGCGTCATGTCCTCCGGTTAGGGTAGGGTATATTGGCATCACCCCTGCTTTATGGCGTGGGGAAATAGGCTCGGAGTGGCGACACAGCTCACCATCAGTGAGTGCTCAGGCCTGGGCTGCTGATTCCTAAGCCAGCCCTCTGGTGGCTCTGCCTTCAGCCACAGCCCTATGGCCCTATCCTCCCACCTTCCCCCACCAGGCAGCAAGAACTGGACAACCTGCTTCAGGAGAAGCGGTACCTGCGGGCATTGGGCCTGGCTATCTCCCTGGACCGGCCCCACACTGTGCTGACTGTTATCCAGGGTTAGTGCTGCCTCGGGCCTGACAGGTGGTAGAGTGGGGGTCCTCTGAAGTCCATTATGCCCCTTCCCTAAGGCTTATCTTCCCTCCTCCCACAGCCATCCGGAGGGACCCTGAGGCCTGTGAGAAGCTGGAAACCACAGTGCTCCGGCTGCGGCGAGACCAGAAAGGTTTGGGGTGGGCTGGTAGAGGCTGGACAGTGGCTGATCTGGGTGGGATGGCCAGTGGGCAGATCTGACCATCTCTGTTACCTGCAGAGGCCTTGTTGCGTTTCTGTGTCATATGGAACACAAACTCAAGGCATTGCCACGAAGCCCAGGCTGTGCTGGGTGTGCTCCTGCGGCATGAGTCTCCCGAAGAGCTGCTGGCCTATGAGGGTGTTCGGACCTCGCTTGAGGCCCTGATGCCCTACACCGGTACGTAGGCATTGCCCCAGGTTGGGGTAGGAAGTAGCCCGGGCCTGACTATGCGGACCCCTGACAGCCTCTGTCGTCCCCCAGAGCGGCACTTTCAGAGGCTGAGCCGGACACTGCAGGCAGCTACTTTCCTCGACTTCCTATGGCACAACATGAAGCTACCCACCCTCCCTGTGGACCCCTCAGCTCTCTGAAACACGCAGAAGGTGTACTTTTCTATTCTAGCTCCCTGTGTCTGGGCATTGTCTCACTTTGGGTCCTGGATCACAACCTTGGCCAGCCGCATCCCTGTGCCCTGGCCTGGATATGACCCAACAGGCCTGCCCCTCAGCACAGACACTGGGTATAGGTCAATCAGTAGAGTTTTTTATTTAGAGGAAATAGAAGAGTATAGCCTCCTGGCCCTGCCAGTCAGGGAATCCCACCCTCAAATGCACTTCCCCCTGAGCTGGGGGTGGTATGGCTGCCATCAGGCTCCAGACTCCCTGGGGTCTGGAGCTTCTGGCCTGCTGCTCCAGCTATGGGGTGCACAGCACAGCCCTCCATGTGGTTCTGCATACTCTCAAGGGGGTCCCTGACCCCCTGGGTGCCTCCCCAGTGCCCTTCGTGTGATGGTGCAGCAGCGACTCTGAATGGCACTCAGCAGGGGGCGGGTGGGCACAGTAGGGGAAAGGGTTGCGGCCTGCGGGGGCTCAGGGCAGCTTTGGGCCTCGTCCACCCTGTCCTCCCCACCCTCTGCCCCACAGTGGAGCCCTGGCCCACTCAGGAGCATGCTCAACCCATCTGGCTGCAGCAGCACGGAGGGGAGAAGACCTGTGCGGTTGCCGAACCTGTGATAAAAGTGGGGTTTGGTTAGCACAAGGCCTTACCCTTGGCTGGACACCCCCTGCCAAAGCCCCACACCTGCACACCTGCATAGCCACCAGCCACGGTCTGACATTTCCAGCACGCGCACACGTGCCCCTGCAGGTACTGATAGCTCGTCGGCCTGGCTGCTTTCATAGGCACGGGAAGCACAGAACTGGGACCCTGGAAGTGGGGTACTTGGGGGGTCACCACAAGGCTTCCACTTCCTGGTCCCCTCATTTCCCACTGAATCACCAACTCTGAGATCCCTCTTTGTTTGGATCTCTGCTGACACCAAGGACCACTCGAAAACCCACTGGATCTCCACCCTCCTATGGGTACTACGCACAGGCTACTGCCACCACCTAGTCATTCCACAGCTTCTCTCCCCTGGGTCAGGTGCTTTCTGTGGCCCAGCCTGGCTGCATGCTGCCCAGTGGTGGTGGTGGTGGTGGTGGGCATGGGGAGGAGGGTTAGTCTCATACCACTACTCCCTAGGGACTGCCCCTGTTCTTGTCTCTGGCCTGGGGCCACCTCCTCCAGGTAGGGAGCAGGAAACCATGCTATCTGTTGGTCTTCATTCTCTACCAGCCACCAGCCTGTGTGCAAGAGGTGGGCAGGGGTTCAGCTCCCCAGGCCCTCTGGGCTCCTGGGGGCAGAAGATTGAATCCCCAGACTCCTGCCCAGCCCTACCTGAGGGGTGTCGCAGCAGCACATTTAGGGCTTCCTGGGCCTGAGCATGGAAAAGTCGGCCCCGTGTGTCCTGGGTGCTGAAGGGCTGCAGGCAGTGTAGGCTCAGAGCCTCCAGGCTGTGGATGGAAAGGCTGCCCACAGGGCCAGGTAGGGGCTCTTCCTGGACAGGCAAGATCACCAGGCTGGAAAGGGCAGCAGGCACAGGCAAGAGGTGGGTGGGTGAGAAGTGTGGAGATTGGCCTGCCAACCCTCAGAAGTCCCTCAGCTGCCCTGTCTTTGGACCTCTTAGGCCCTTTCTCCACTATGCCACCTCCACCCTCCAGATACTTCCCGTGGGGAGTTTGGGGTGGTCAAGCACCTGCCAGGTGGCACTGTGGGCTCCAGGTCCCAGGGTTGTGGTGCAAAGAAGCTGGTGATCACTGGGGCCCTAGACACATGCTTCACCAACAGCAATGTCTGTGAATAGGTCTCCAGCAGCCGCAGGCGTGTCAGGCCGCGGCCTGTACGCCCCCCACGCACCAACAAGGAAGTGTCTGTGGGCATGACAGACCGTCTAACCCTGCCCCAGGGTGTTCCCCCACCAGGCTGCCCCTGCCCCTGCCCCTCCCAGGATCCCTGCTGGCCTGACCTGGAAGCTTGGGGAGAATGCGGTCAGATCTCTGCAGCAGGCCCGCCTCTACTGGGAAGGTCTCCTTGAGGGTCTTCTAAGGGCGAGAACCAGCCTATTGGTCCCAAAACCAGTAGGTCCCAATGCCCACCGGGGTTCACTTGGGCAGGTGGGGTTCCCTTGCCAGGATTGTAAGGACAGGAAGCCCGCCAGAGTGTGAGAACAGGCACTCCAGTGGGGGTCATGAGTGGATCATGCAGTTAAGTCAGGTCGCCCCAAGTTCACTCACATGAAGCCTCCTGAACTCATCCCAGCTCCTGCGCACAAAGGTGTTGCTGTTGTCAGACCAGTGCACAGAGATGGCGAATGTCTGTTGGAGGAAAGGCTGGGGGTATCTGGGAGGGGCTGGGCCATGAAAACTCCCTCCTCCCCTCCCTCCCTTCTCGAGGTTGTCAGGGACCTGTAGGGTCATACCTGGAGCCTCTCTGTCTGCACCAGAGCTGCTGCACGTACTGACACTGGGTGCCGAGGGCCTGCCATAGCTGTGGCTTTTTGAGTCGCAATCTGGGCCTCTGAAGCTGGCAGTGAGCAGTGAAGGGTCCTGCTGCTTCCTTGCTCACACTGGGTGGGGAGGCACTCCCGGGAACCCGGAAGATTGGTGGGAATTCCCCAGTGACGCCTCACCTCAGACCTGCCAGGATCTTGTAGCGCTGCCCTACCTGCTTTCTTCACAACTTCCTCACTATACCCTAAGCTGAAGGTTTGGGTGGAGGGGCAGAAACACAAGGCTTGAGAGTGAGAGGGGGAGCACGGATGTGGTGGAGGGGCTAGGACTGCTGCCTGAGGCCCTCCTACCAAAGTCTGGCCTTGAGAGAAGGAAGAGTCATCAAAGTGCCGCCAGGCCTGGCTCACCCTTCCAGCTCTCCCACGCCCTGTGGCCCTGTGTTGATACTGGTGAGAGCCTGCTGCCAGGGTGGGCCCCACTGCTGTCTTTGAACTCCCTGGAGGTTCACAAGCAGTTATCAGGAATGGCTTAATCCTACTTTGGAAAAAGGTCTTTTAATGTTACCAAGTCACAAAGGAGGAAATTTATGTTAAAGGGCTGATTGTCAGATTTTCTGTATGTGTTGGGAAGGGGCAGACCTCACAGGGTCACCCAGAAGTTCCCCTATGGGGGGCAGACTTAAGGCAGAAAGAAGAGAGTCTATCTCTGCAGTCACCTGGCACTTGGAAGTGGGGAAGGTTGTGACTAGGACTGTTTTAAGAGCAGTCTCTGAATTCATGATTTATTACAAGTACTGCAAACGCAGCCTCTGAGATCAGGAGTGATTATTCCCCCCACTAACTGGGGCAGTGAGAGAAGGCCCTAGAATCTCCAGATGGTATGCCTGAGTGCCCCACATTTCTGGGCTGCTTCCTTATAGAGATTTCTGCAGCCCCATCTAACTTTGGTGCATGATTTTCTGCTGTTGGAACTAATGTAGGGAGGAGGCCCTGAACACACAAGAGTCCCTCTCAGTGCCTTTGTCACTCGCTGTCCCTCTGGGTCCCTGAGTTTACTGTCTCATTATCTCTCTCTGTCCTTGTCACTCTCTGCCTCTGAGAGGAGACCACACTGTGAAGTGTTATTTTTCTAATAAACTACTTTTGACTCTACCTTTGCCGTGTGTGTTGAATTCTTTCCACACTCTCCACCAAAGGACCCTCTTCTCTCACTGCAGGGATTGGTATCACCCCCACTTGGGGAAATTGCCTTGTCCTGCACTAGAACCAACAGCTCTCTGTTGGGAACTCCCTCACTCAAAACTCTCCAGGGTATGCTTCTAGGGCATCCCTCCAGGAAACCACCCTGGCCTGGACCAAGGGCTTTTGTGCATCCAACCAGCAGCTCTCTCTGAAGCTCTCAAACCCTCCCTAGTCTGGTCCCAGACAATGAATACTTGCTGACATAGGCCTGATTTGCAGTGCCTTCAGCCCAACTGTCACACTCCCCAACCTCAGTGGGAGCCGTGCTGAAGGTCCTGCCGGCCTGGCAGGATCCAAGGTGGGACAGACCCTGCCTCCATGGAAGATGGAGGAGAGAAGCTGGAGAAGTAAATTTACTCACAGACAGTGACCTAGAAGAGCCCCTGTCCCAACTGACAGTTCCTGCTCCACACCCCCAGCAACCTTGGATCCTTTCCCCTCTTTCCTTCTCTATAGCCCCTACCCTCATCTCTCACCTGGATAACTACAACAGCCCCCCAAACCCATCCCCTAATGGCCATGCTCCTCACTTGTTCCCATGAAATGGACTCTCCAGAGGAATCTTTGCAAAACAGGAATGGGATCAGGTAGAGGTAGCCCTGCTCAAAACTGTCCAGTACCTTCCCACTGTCCTTAGAATAACTTCCCAATTCCCTGGCAGCTGATGAGGTCCTTGGTGAACCCCTGCCTACCTTTGGATCTCTCCTCCCTAGGTCCTGTCCCACTGGCCTTTCTGCCTATGCAAGAGGCCAAGACCCACTTTTCTGCCTATACAAGAGGCCAAGACCCATTTTCCACCTTGGCCTCCACTGCCCTCAGCTGATTTCCCATCCTTCAGGGCTCTGTCTAAGGGTCACCTTCTCAAAGAGGTCTTCTGGATTTACCACACCCCCCATCATAGTATGTAAGTAATTCTTTATTAGCGTGACTCCTTTTGCTTGTTTCTGTCTTGACCATGACTATGAGCTAAGGAGGTCAGGGTTGGATCTCGTTCCTCACCTTGCCCGGCGCCTGGAACAGTGTAACAGATTACACACAACACAAATACCTGCGGAATGAATGAGTGTACGTATGGAAGCAAAGGTATCCCTAATGCCATTCTACATGGGTTTAACCCCTTCTAGCAGGGTGTAGGATCACCGGCCGCTGGGTGCACTAAGGAGCCGAGAGACAAGCACCTCCTCTTTGAAGCCAAGGCTCCACCCCGCGTTGACGCGGCTGGGGCCGCAGAGGCTGATCCCGGGAACCCGGCCCTAGCGCGCACCGCCCTCTGTGTGCTCATGGCCCCGCCCCGCGTCGCCATGGCGCCGCGCAGCTGTCCCTGCGGCGGGCCCTCAGTTGAAAGCACAGAACCTGGCCGTGGGCACACGGCACGGTTGGAGTGGAGCGATGGGGGCGTCAAAGGCCGCAACACGGACTTCGCCTCAATCGCAGCCCGAGTCCACAGCGCGACCGCGGCGCACCTTCCACAACACTCTCCTCTTCTACTGGAGGAAGCCGGAGAGCCGCCATGGACAACGCAAGCCGGGCGCGGGCCGCGGAACTAGGCCCAGGGGCGCGGCCAGGACCCGGGCCTCCGGCCCCGCCTCCGGCCCCTCCTCCGCCCCCGCTCGCGCGTCTGACGGGTCCTTGGCCGGGACCCCAGCCTCTGGCTCTGCCTCCTCCCGGGTGCGGACCGCGACTCTCAGCCCCGCCTCCTCGACAGACCCAGCTCCCGCCCCGGACTCCGCCTCCGAGCCCGCCCCCTGTCCCAGCTCGGGCCCGGCCTCCGTGCCAGAGCCCGCGGTGCGCACGCCCGGTTCCTATGGCCGTGCTCTGGCGGCGGCGCGCGTGCTGGCCTGGAGGCCGACTTGGAGGCCCATCTGGAGGCCGAGCTGGCCCGGCAGACATCGCGCGGGCAACATGGCGGCCTCCAGCGAGCGGGGGCGCTTCGGCGGCGGCAACTTCTTCTCCTTTCTGCCCGGCGGCGCGCGGTCTGAGGCGATGGAGGACCTGGTGACTGACGCGCGCGGCCGGGGCGTGGGACGGAAAGATGCTACCGCCTCCGCTTCGACGCTGACCCAGGCGCCGACTCCCGACCCTGAAGTTGCTAATGACACTTCCCGGAGGCGGCCCTGCCGGGCCTGTGTGGACTTCAAGACGTGGATGCGTACGCAGCAGAAGGTGCACATGCCTGGTGGCACCACCTCCACGCAGAGGCCCGCGAGCCTTGCCCACCCCTAGCCCCAGCCCGCATACGCCTCGCCTCCACTTCCCCCACCCCTGGCCCTCGGCTCCCGCTCCTTGTTTTCAGGGGCCCCGGGCAGGTCTCCTAACGTCCTGGCCGAGCGGCCACAGGTCCTGTGCCTAACAAACTTATGTCCCCCAAGGCTGGCAGTTTCTGAACCTTGCCCTCAAGGTCAGCCCGGCCTTTGGGCTTTCAGCCACACGTGGGCCAGATCGGCACCAGTACTAATGTCTCCAGTCAGTGGGCCTCCGGCTGCGGGGAGCAAAAGGGGAAATTTGTAGTCTTCTGGTTCTGGGGAGACTGAACTAACCCGTGGTTGGTCTCCTTCCGCACAGCGGGACGGCAAGTTTAGAGAAGATTGTCCTCAGGATCGCGAGGAACTGGGCCGCAACAGCTGGTCTGTTCTTCACACCCTGGCTGCCTACTACCCTGATCTGCCCACCCCAGAACAGCAGCAAGACATGGCCCAGTTCATACATTTATTTTCCAAGTTTTATCCGTGTGAGGAGTGTGCAGAAGACATAAGGAACAGGTAAGCTGTGTATGCACCATCTACAGGCAGTATAGAGCATTACACCTGAAGCCTGGGCCTGGGGCCCTGATCGATGTCATAAAGGGGAGCCTGGACAAGTAGGTGCAGAGGTGGCAGAGGGTTGCCAAGAGCAGGAACCACCAACAGAGTGGGGATTCCATCATCTGAGCCATCTTAAAGGCCTGGGGCTCCTGCTGGGCACTACTGCTTTCTGTAGCCACAGGCCAGCAGGGAGGTCTTCCCTCAAGAGGTCCCTTGCTTAGCACTGATGGAGCTTCCCATAGGTTAAAGAGGACTTAACTTTGCCTGACTTCTGGAGCAGGATTGCTGGTTTCAAGACCTTGAGAATGCACTGCTTCTGCTCCCAAGAGCTACCTTTATCTTATTAGGGAGCCTAAGAGCCATTGTTTGGCTCCCATAAGCATTTCTGGGTTGGATGTGGGGGGGCAGGGTAGCCTTGCTGTTTGAAGTCTGGGCAGTTTGAAGGAAATCTCTTCCTGAACTGAGGTACCAGCCTCCAGGAACTAAGAAACAAGTTCGGTTTTCAGTTATGCCTTTGTGTAGGCCCCACCCTTTCCACACTGCCTGGGGCCAGGGAAGCTGGGGTGAGGCTTCCTGATTGTTACGAGGTTGTAAAGTTGCTTGGCCTATGCCTTAATGTCTTGCCCTGGGCTCTTGTCAGAATTTGCCAAGCTCCCTAAGTGGGGTTTTGAGCAGGCCTAAGTTCATGGTACCTGGATGCAGGGTCAGCCCTGTTCTGGGAATTAAGTTTCTCAGAGCATGAGGGACACTCATGGGTGTATCTCACAGCAGCATCCCATTTCTCCTCCCTGGATTGAGCAGGCAGGGAGTTGGTGGGGCAGGGACAGTGGGACCTCTGCCTACCTCCATCTTCCATGTGCTCCCCCATACAGGATATGCAGGAACCAACCAGACACGAGCACACGGACATGTTTAACCCAGTGGCTGTGCCGCCTGCACAACGAGGTGAACCGCAAGCTAGGCAAGCCAGACTTCGACTGCTCCAAAGTGGATGAGCGCTGGCGTGATGGCTGGAAGGACGGCTCCTGTGACTAGAGGGTGGCCAGCTGGAGTCCATGGGGCAGCCAGCCAGGGCCTAAGGGTGACCTGACTTGAGAGGGGCAGGATACTTATTAAAGTGCAGCAGAGCCAGAGCCTGTTGTGTTTAAGTTGGGTGATCCTCAGGTTTGGAGTTGAAGTGGAGGTGTCTTCTGCAAGCACCCGTATGGCTGCCACCTCAGCTGAGGCCCCATGGGGCTGCAGGCAAAAGAGTAGGAATAACCTAGGCTGTCCCTTTCATTCAGGATGTGGCCTCCTGCCCACCCCACTCCTGGTGCCCATTTCCCCGCACAAGAAAATGACAAGTGTGGCTGGGCTTCCCTGTCCCACACCCCTCAAAGCCAGGCCATTGTGTCCTCACTGTTAGCTAGGGACAGCTGCAGTGATTATAGCTCCAAAAGCTGTATGCTGTTTGTACTTGAGGAAAGAGGCCTGGAGGCCAAGTGCTCCACCCCCTGCTCAATTCCTTCAGCGGGGAGAAACAGATAGGGTTCTTCACTGCGGGTTCACCAACCTGTCCAGCACATGGCTTTCCATAGCTGTACCAGGCCTGTCAGAGGCTTCCTAGGGCCAGCTTCCTTGGAGCTTGAGACCAAAATAAAATGCCAGAGAAGTAACTGAGGACCTGACTTCAGTGTGTTTTGTGCTGAGATTTGGCAGAGATGGACAGGGGTTGCCCTTGCTCTTATGTGGTCAGCTGATTCCTCCTGTCCTGGTTCCGGCTCCTTAGGAGTAAGGAGAGGTCCCAAGGCAAGACTAGGCCAGGATATTCCAAAAACAGCAAGGAAACTGAGTTGCTGGAGCCATGGGAGGGTCGGATGGCATGAGGTCATCAAGGACTCAGCAAGGACATGGTTTTAACACTCAGCTCCTGTGACAGGAAGGTCTGGGAGGATTTGGAGCTAAAGAACGGCAAGATGTGACTTTTGAAAGGTTCCTCTGGCTGCGGGGATGAGGCAGGCATGGATGGGAACAGGGAGGGGCAAGCATCCATGTGGCAGCTGAGGGGGAAGCTTGCCCCAGAGTAGGTAGAAGATGCCAGATATACTCTGAAGATAGAGCCCAAGGTGACTGTGTGGTTACAGCCTGAGCAGCTGGAAGGATGGAGTTGCTCTGTGTATCTGAGATGGAGAAGGCTGAGTGGAGCAGGCTTGGAGGTAAATTGGACCCAGCTTTTGAGCCTTCCTGATCTGCTCAGCCACACCTGCTCCCAGACCTGGGCTCCCAGCCAGAATACAACAGCTGGAGGGGAATGGAATCAAGAATGGAAGTTTGTTTTTAAAATAGAAGAAAGTGTAATATGTTTGGTTGCTGATGCAAATGATCAAGTAAAAGAGGAAAATGGATGATACAAGAGGGGGAACATTTGCTGACAGATGAGAGGCAGTGGGATTGGATACACAGTGTAATGGATTTGACAGAACACTAGTGGGCAGCACCTCTGGCCCCACCTGCCCTGGGGTGGGTTCCCCAGGGGGCTGGGCCTGGCACCACCCTCCTCACTGAAGTCATGAGAGGGGGACCTGGATTTGAATCCCAGCTCTTCATTTTCAGTGATTCAGGAACTCAACCAGCCTGCCTAGTTACCATCTGAGAAGTGGGGATGATAATAGTCCCTACCCCAAAAGGTCATTGTGAAGCACTTGGCACTGTAAATACTCAACGAATGCAGACTTGTCATTAATGCCCCAGACAGAAACATAAGAGTCATCCAGGCTCCTGTCAGGCTGACCTGGAAGGAACTTGAAGGAAGAGACACTATCTAACTGGGGGCCAGGAGATCCATGGAATAGACCTAACAATGGCATGGGGCAGATAGGCCAAACTCTCATATCTCATGCTCCCCACCCCTTGACCCCAAACTAAATGTCAGCCACAAGGCAGTTTGGGAACCCCAGGAATGTGAAAGGCTCAGAGCACCCTTGGAGCGACATATGGCCCCAGGAAAGCAGGGATGCCCCAACTCCCACCTATGCTAGCCTGTGAGCTCTGCCCACCTGGACAAGTGCCCCTGGGAACAAGCCATTATCCCTCTCTGTCAGGGAGGCTAAAACCCTCTGGAGAAGCTAGGGTACAGTGGGGAGTCAAGGGAGAAAGGCTCCAGTGACCTATCTCTGGTCTGCAGGAGACCAAGGGCCAGGGACTCATGTTCATTCCCCTTTTCTGAGGGCTAGGATAAGATGCTGGAGCCCTCGGTCCTTGGTTACCCCCTTACACATTACACAGTGATCAGGTCTCTGTCAAGCCGCCTGGCTACAGCAAAGACTGAGCCCAGTGCCCGCCTGCCCTGCTGACCCCTGACTCCCTGTGAGGGCCTGTGGGGGCCCTGGCAACTTGGCCCTGTTCCCTGATTATGATCTGGTGGGTGGTCCCCATCTCGGACCCGGATCAGGCAGGTGATAGTGGGAGAGTGGAAGGTAGGCAGGGAGGAGGTAAGGGAGGGCTCCAGTCCAGCTCGTGGAGGAGTGGCGGGGTGCGGG